TCCAGCTCCCTCCCCGACACTGGCCGCCGGGGGGGCGGGCTGGCCGGCCCTCCTGGAAGCCCCGGGCCCTGGTGTCCGCCCGCGGCCGCAGCTTGGAGACCTGTGGGGCCTGGCTTGTCTCTGAAGCATGGACGCCATCGAGGGCAGCAGAGCACTGACGCGTGCCGGTGGCGGGAACGAATGAAAGTAGCCAGTGAGGCGACTTGGGGATTTTCCGTAGTGGACGCTTCTCCTCCAGGGCCCGCCAACGGCACCCTCCCAGGAGCGGAGTCTGGGAGTCAGCGTCTGAGGCCACGTCAGGTTGGCTCAGCCCGGCGTGGACGCAGGGGGTGCAGGTCAGCCCCCCGCTCGGCCGAGGGACTCTCCGTCCCTCAGCGCTGTCGCCGCTGCCCCGAGCGTCCTCGCTCCCAGAAAGCGCTGGGCAAACGCCGTGTCCCCGGGCCCGGTTCTGCGCTCAGCCTCTCTGGGCCGGCCGCAGCCTGCACCTCTGGGAGGCGACCGGCCAGGTGCCTCGGGGCCAGGCCCGCCCCTCTCGCGAGCCGCAGGTCCTCCTCCCTTCCTTCCCGATCTATCCTGGGCCAGGGCGTGGGTCCGGCCTCTGCGCTCCGCCGAGCAGGGAGTGCGCTGTCTGTGCCGGGCCGCCTGAAAGCAGTGCGTCCGCAGAGGGCTTCAAAACACCCCCAAGGCCACATGGTAAAGGTGACTCTTGAAATATGTTTCAAGTCCCCGGCTTTGATGGCTTTTATCTTCTCAAAAGTAAGTCAGAGCTTTCGGCAGTGCTGCAAGGACTGTGCAGTCAGCGTGAGGCGGGGAGTGGGCCGGGCAGGAGCCGCGCCCCGCGCCCCGCTCTCCCGCCCGCCGCCTCCCTCCCCTGCGCGGTGGCCTGTCTTCTCCACGCCTGTGTCCGAAGGCCCCCCGTTCGGGGAGGCCCCTTTGCCCTTGACTGGAAGGGTTCGAGTGTGACCCCCATGGGATAATCCGGAAAGGAGCAGAATATTCTAGGAATCACTTCGGATCGGACTCACGGTGGCCTCGCGATCTTTGCCAGCTTCTCCTCTTCTGGTACCGGCCTCGCTATTGCCCCCGGGAAGGGCCCTGGCATGTGCCCTGGTGCCCCGTGGGGCTCCTGGCCGAGCCCTCGCCCGGGTCGAGCCTCCCACGTCGTGCGGGAGAAGCTGCCCGTGGAGGTTCCTTCTGGGGCGCGTTCCCACTTCCGCCCCAGTGGGGCTCAGTGCCGCGGGTCGTCTTTCTCCCACGCTTCCCTCCGGTGTCCAGGATGCCGCTCTCTGCCCTCCTGCCTGGCGGATGGCTCCTGACCCCGGCTTCTGCTGCTGCAGCTCGCCCGAGCCAAGAGGAAGGGCTGGGCGGGGGGCCAGACAGGGGTCCAAGAAGCCCCTCCCGGGGCCGAGCTCTCTCCTCGGGTGCCAGCTCCGTGGTGCAAGCGCGAGGAAAGATTGTGTGGCGGGCGAGGCTGCCAAGGCGCCTGGCTCTTCCCGGTGCCCCTCGGGTCAGAGCAGGCCGTCCCCCGCAAGGCCCACAGCCACACTGCCCTGTCGGCTGCATCTTCAGACCCTTGTCCAGACAGCTAAGCTAGAAAACTAGGTGTCTGATGACCAGCCAGGCTTCCCGCTGCCAGACGTCTTTGGGAAGGGTAGTGAGCCCCAAATCTTACTTTGATTCTTTCTTTTAAAATAATAGATAGTGGGCCATCCCTGCTGGCCAAAGGGGTTAAAACGCAGCACTGTGAAGCTGTCCGCAGCCACTGCAGCACGAATCCAATCACCGGCCACGGAGTTGACCCCAGGGCGCAGCAGACACCTCCTGTCCCCCCCTGCTCCCCTCAACAGTGGATTTCAGTGGATCCACCTGTTCTGCTCCCCACTATGTCTCTGATGAAGACTTTCACTCCTCCCACCCCTCTGGCCTGCACCCCAGCTCTTTTGTGCATAAAAAATCTTTAAAAAATAAATTAATTAAGTTGTTCAACATCACTCGTAATAAGGGAGATGCAGATTAAAACCACAATGAGATACCACCTCACCCCAGTGAGAATGGCACATCTTCAAACAACTAGCAACAACACATGTTGGCGAGGATGTGGAGAAAAAGGAACTCTCCTGCACTGCTGGTGGGAATGCAAACTAGTACAACCACTATGGAAAACTGTTTGGCGGTTCCTCAAACTGCTAAACATGGAGCTTCCCTATGACCCAGCAATCCCATGCCTAGGGATCTACCCAAAGACACAAAAACACTGATTCAAAAAGACACCTGCACCCCCATGTTTATTGCTGCTTTACTCACAATTGGAAAGACATGGAAGCAGCCCAAACGCCCAAAAGTAGATGACTGGATTAAAAAGAGGTGGTACATAGACACAGTGGAATATTACTCAGCAACCAAAAAGATAAACACATGTCTTTTGCAGCAACTTGGATGGAGCTGGAAGGGATCATGCTTAGTGAATAAGCCAGAAAGTAAAGGAAAAATACTGGATGGTTTCACTCACAGCAGGAGCATAAAGCACCAGGCGAGACAATGATAGCAATAATGAACAGCTTTAGACCAGAGACATTTTGTGGGGGTGGAGCGGGGAATGGGATCAAAAATAGTGGGGGAGGGAAATGCACTGGACTATGGTGATGGCGCAGGGTGACTTGGTGATGGGAAGCCCTTGGGGAACTACACTGAAATGGAAAAAGTCACAAAATGATGTAAAAATAAACTATTACATTATTAAAACTTAAGTAAGTAAGTAAGTATGGGCCACCGTGCCGGGTTTTAGACTGTCCCTGCGAGAGGGGGCCTTTCTGTCTCGTGCGGGACCTCAGCACGGGCCAGGCCAGGGAGACTTGCTGTGGGCCGTGTCATGTCAGCGCCGCTGGGCGCGATTTTATAGTGCAAACGCAGGGTCCGGCTTGCCGGCCAGCTGCCCACACGGCAGCCGTCCCTGGTGGCTGCTGTCACGGCCTCTCTTCTCAGGAAGTGGTGCCCACAGCCCCCTCCCCGCCACTCAAGGCACTTTCCTTTGACATCAAAGATTCCTCTGTGATTTTCTTTCTCGGCCCTGCCGCTAACAGAGAAGAATGTGGACTCTGAGAAGTGAAATCTAAAGTCATTAAACATTGCAAGTTCCCCTTGGACAGAGACTCTGATTCTAACTAGTACTGGATTTCCTGTTCCTTTGTGACAGAGAGGGACAGTTAAAAACCCGCTGCCGACTTCACAGAGACGCGTCCGCCCAGCGTAACCCAAATGTTTACATCTGATGATTACGGCCCCCGAAAGGCGGCCAGGTGACGCTCGGAGCGGGGCGGCGTGTCACGGCAGAGTAAATATTTACAGCGCTATTGTATTTCTTGACTGATGGCCCTGCCGCCGGCTCTGGGGCCGGGTGCGGGGCCAGCGGCCTTGGGGAGCTCGGCCACGCGCAGGGCATCCCCGGCGGCTGGCACGTGCCCGGGGGTGACGAAACAGGCCGTGTGCTCTGAGCCCACACGGGGTGGCACCGGCCCCAGAGCTTGGCCACCCGTGGGTCCACGCCGCCCCTTGTTTCCTGACAACGCCCGAAGTGTCTCTTCAGCTGGACAAGTAGGAATGAGAGCTCCACTCAAACCTCGTGGCCAAGACAGGTCACCCCACGCACAGAATGCGTTAGAAGCAGTGAACGTCCTAAACAGCTACCCCGGGCTCTTCCCTGGCGCCCCGGGATGCCTAGTTGGACACAGACTTGACTTCCTCCTCTTCCTCCTGTCACCTCGTCACCCTCAGCCCAGGGGACGGCAGCTCTTCCGAAGGGCTTTCTGGCCTATCTCGTCCCAGGCCGGCCTTGGCAGGCCCAGCCCGCTGGCCGCCTCTGCCCCGGGGCCCAGGCCCATGGCTGCGAGAGCTCAGCTCTTCACAGCCTCTCCCCAGCAGGAGGGGACTCGCAGCAGGAAGCAACGTGAAACTCAGCTGCTGCTCACGCGTGTTCCGCCATCTTTAACAGAAGATTAAAGTAAGGACGCGGACTGAAAGGAACTAAAGCCCACGGGGGACGAGAAAGCTCATGGAGCTCCACTGAGACAGTGACCCTGCGGCGGCCACTGACACAGGCGTGTTGGCCCGATGGGGTCTGTGGGCTTGGGAGCCCTGCACAGTGCTTGGACCCCCAGGGAGAGCCCACGGAAGATCCCACGGGAGAGCCCACAGGAGAGCCCACGGAAGCCCACAGGAGAGCCCATGGAGAGCCCACGGGAGATCCCACGGGAGAGCCTATGAGAGATCCCATGGGAGAGCCCACGGGAGATCCCTCGGAAGCCCACAGGAGAGCCCATGGAGAGCCCATGAGGGATCCCATGGGAGAGCCCACGGAGAGCCCACGGAGAGCCCAGGCCGCAGGGAGGGCCAGGGCTCACAGGGGCAGTTGTGTGGTGGGGGGCTGAGGTAAAAGGCAAGGGGGTTCTGTTCTCCACGGCGGAGCCGGTGCGGACCCAGGGCTGTGGGGCGCATGTGCGTGGCCGGCGGACTGCGCGCACCCCCCCTCCCCTGGAGCCCTGCCGCCGCGGCCTCGTAGGAACCCTGCACTGTCAGGCTGCATCCAATCAGCATTTCTCCAGGGTGGCGGCGCCCCAGGGGTGAGGCTTGAGATTTCACCTGGTGATGGGCACACGTTTCTATCTTAGTTGCGTATTTGTTTTGGTGCAAATGAAAGAAAAACAGAGTTAGGGCTTCGCCAGGCTCCTCAGTGGATGTTGCTGACCAGGAGGGGAAAGAGGTTCAGTCTGCAAGCGAGTCAGCTGCACAAGGGCCGGCCCAGCCCCCAGAGCTCCGCCGTAAGCACGTGTCTGCCCGTGTCCTCCCCTTCTCCAAACTCCCTCTGGCCCTCCAGGCGCTGAGGGCCATCTCCTGGCCCTTTGAGGACCACCTCCCGGCCCGGGGGTGCGCACGGACGAGCCGCAGCCTCCCTGTCCGGCGGGAAGCCGCCCTGTGCGGCAGCAGCTCGGTCCAGACCGGCTTGCCTGGGGGTCCGCTGGCAAGGCCGCGCCCCAAGCGAACTCTCTCTTGCTGTCTTCACTAGTGGTCTCTTTGCCCTGAGGACACCAGCGGAAGGGCGGAGCTGCCAGGGCCCAGCGGGGAGCCGCCAGGGGCCTGTCGCTGTTAAGCATGCGCGTGCCTTTGGGGAAGGGAACGGTGTGAGCCTGAGGCCTCCACACAGGTGCTGCAAGCCGAGCATCTGGCACTCAGCGGTGCCAGCGGGGGAGGAAGGAGGCGCGGGGCTGTCCACCGGCGGCGTGGGTGCGGCCCCGACCCGCCACGCTCCTCCGTGACGTGCACGGGCCCTCCGCTCATCCCCTCGGGGCTTTCACATGGGTGTGGAAACGGGGACTGCAGCCCACGGGGCCGTGTCTGGTGTGCTGAGCAGGTCTCTTAGCGGCATTTTGACTGCATGGAACATTCCCTCACAGTTTACGTCCACAAAGAGCCTGTGAATGGGACCCTGTTTGGAAATAGGGTCCTGGCTGATGCGGTCAGCCAAAGAGGGGTCATCCTGGGGCAGGGTGGGCCCCCCTCCAGCCTGGTCCCCAAGATGGAAACACAGGGGGCCCGTGATCTGAGAGGAGAGCTTCTGGGGCCCACGCGAGGCAGGTGACTTAGAGGTGTGTTTTGTGCACAAAGTGAAAGAAAATGCAGACATAAGACATTGTACGGATGGGAGCAAATATCCATACCGCATGCATCTTGCAAGGGTGAATATCCAAGATACATAAAAGCTCACACAGCTCAACACCAGCATAGCAAACACCTGACTAACATGTGGGCAGCAGATCTGAGTGGACAGATCTGAGTGGACAGTCCTCCAAACGGACACCTAGAAGGCAAACAGGCCAAAGGACAAATGTCCACTGTCTCTGCCCTTCGACAGACGCGCATGAGTCCCACGCGCCACTGTCTTACACCCGAGGGGGCACGATCTGGAGCTGAAACACAGTGCCGCCCCCCACTGCACTCCAGCCTCCACTCAGGGCACATCACCGACGCAAAGGCAGCGGCTGAGCCGGTACTGCTGCGCCACTCCCAGCAGGACCAGCAGCGGCAGTGAGCAGGCCAGGACGCCGTGGCATGTCCACGCCGTGATGGACCGCGCTGAGAAGTGCCACGCAGCCACAAAGAGGCGAGATGCGGCCGCTTACGGGAGAAGGCGGGGCCGCAGGGGAGAGCTGGTCGAAGGACGGAGCCCAGGGCGAGGCGTCTGCACAGTGAGCGGCTCACCGGGACAGATGCTCCTGGAGTGAACAGACACGAATTCACGCCGGGCAGCCTCGGGGGCGAAGCTGGGGCGCTCGTGGCGCTGAGAGCCAGGGCTGCGACTTGCGGAATTCTCGGGCCGCCGCAGATGCTCGTCGAGTTTGCCTCCCGTGGTCGGGCACCTTTAAACGCTGGCAGAGGGCTCCTTGGAGAGGTCTGAGATGGCTCTCGCCCGGACGGCCAGGCACACTGGGCGCGCAGCCTGCGGCCACGTGACGCCAGCTTCTCTGCCTGTTGGCCATTGTGGCGAGGGGGTTTTCCAGCGGGTGTGAGAGCAAACCTCTCGGAGCCAGGGTGAGGTGTGTCCTGTGGCCCGGGTCCCGGGCGCAGAGGCGCTCCATGCCCAGCAGCACGGTGGACCCGGGGTGTCCCGCTTTACTCCCGCACGGTCAACAGAAGAGCGTGGCGGAGGCTCAGGACCTGTCCGCCCCTGGCGTGGGGACACAGGGCTGAGCCCGGCCCCGCCTCCCACGCTGTCCCCTCCCAGCACGTCTGCCGGGTCCCGATGTCACATGCTTGATGGAGAAAAGTCCCAACAGTCAGTCAGCAGGAAACGCGGCGCGAGGCGGACGGAGCAAGCTTCCATTAAATGGCGTATTTTGATTTTTCGTGATTCCATTTTGGAAAACGCTTTTTTAAATGATTGGTCTGTCAACATAATGGATTGGCGGCTAAAAATAACTAGGGGAGGACATTAAACAGCCCAAAGGGTAAATCACGACAAGGAGACTTGGGTGGCCCAAATGACGGCCCCTCCGCGGAACGTGAAGCACACCCGGTCGGCGGGGAGCAAGCAAGACGCCCCCACCCCCATTTCCGGCCCTTAAACCCGGAACTCGCAACTTCACGTCAGCAGAGGAGCGCATCTGTCACGTCAGCAGACACGACGGGGTGCGCGTCGGAGCCCGGGCCTTTCTCCCGCCGCCGGCCGCTGGCCGAGCAGGGCTGGGCGCGCCCCGTGTGGTGAGCGCGTCTGACCGCAGGCGTGGGCAGAGGGACCCCCGAAGGCAGCTGCCCGGGTCAGTGGCAGGCCCTGCTGCGCGGCCGGCTTCCCCGTGTTTCATTTCCAGTTTGAAAAATACCAGCTGGGTGTTTCTCTGCGACTGTGGAGGAAACACTGTCCATTGCCATGAGGGATCGTTCCACGCAGAGCAGAAAGGACATGACAATCGCGCGTAACCCGCTGCCCACTCCGCTTTCATACCTGCTCTCTCCGCCCCGCACCGCCGAGCGGCGCGGATGGCGGCGGCCACACGGGCACTCACGGGCGCGTGGCTGCCCGGGTGTGGGCCAGGCTGTGCCGGAGTGCTGGTGACAGGGAGGGAGGGGCGCCCCTGTCGCCCTCCCCCGCCTGCGCTGACCGCGACCAGGCCGGGCGTGGCCTCGCGCTGAGCTTGCACACACCTGCTGGGCCCAGGAGGGTCCGGGTGCGCACCTGGGCCGGCGGGGCTGGGGGCCCTGCCGCCTGGAATCTGAGCTCCGTGCTCTGACTCGCCCGACAGGTCTCCGCGCCTGGGGTGTGGTGGGCGAGTGGGACGGACTGAACCGTGCCCACATTCCTATGCTGAAGCCCCACCCCATCGCCGGCTCTCTTGGAGAGGCGGGAGCCCTGAGCCCAGAGAGGGGG